TGGGAAGGTGGCCCCTGGCAGATGCAGCGTGACCGACCGCCGTGAGCGAGCGGCACAAGCGTGAAGGCTTCCATAGCGAGGCAGGACTCGCACGTCCGGCGTCGTCACTGCTGCCAACTTGGAGCCAAAGGTGGGGTGGGCCAGGCCGTTAGCAGGGGTGTAGGCAAATGATGATTGGGAATAGTGCCCCTCGCCCACCCGGCATACACTGCACCTCCAAGGCAGAGGAGTCGTGTGTTGTCACCTGAATACTCATGACATTTAATTTTAACAGGTATCAAGCATCAGGACACAGGGATGTACAAAGGATCTGCTTATTCTAGCTACCCTTTTCTAATGCTCCCAGACCCGTACCTGCCAAATGGATCTATGTCACCTTTGGTGAGTTCCTCGTCTGATTATTTAAGCAGTTTTCTATCCTCTGGCTGTTGAAGTGTGTCGCAGTTGCCATGTCGTCGTGTGTTAACACTTTTTCCGACTAGCGTGCAGCATTATTTTCAAACGTCCAGAATTGTGCCCTGCTGAAACTGAGGGTGGACAACCAGGAATGGTAGATAAGGGTCAGCAGCAAAACACTGGGATCTTTTGGGGTTCACCAGTGCAGTTTCTTCTCCAATCTCTGTCGTCCAATTTAATCTTTGCTTTTTGGTTTTTTACTGTTTTTTTTTTTTATGGATGCTCCTTCATTTAGCTATGCACAGGTATTGCAGACAAGTGATGTGGGAGACTTTGGGGATTAATCTTGTATCCATCAGTTTAATCTTATATCCACGGACCCCGCTTTTAAAATGGCTTGTGCTTTGGCCTCCATAATGAAAGTGCTTGCTGATGGATGAGCTCTGCACACATGGGCACCTTGTCTGTTTTTACAATAATTGCAATTTGTCCTTCATTAAATGATCTAATGTTGATGGAGGTGATATTTGAATGTTTTTTAATCTGCAGAAGTTTATTTCTTATTGCTAAAAAAAAAAAAAGTCAAATATGTTCTAGTAACTAGACACAGTTTGTTACTGTTTAGTGAGTTTTGCCACATGGGTTCCTAAATACAGTGCAGCACTCCAAGGGTTTCTGGTAAAATCTTTCCTTTTATACAGAAATTACAGTAGGGCATTACACTCATATTCACACCACTGTAAATCTTGAGTATAATTTAAACCATTTCAACCACTATTCTGGATTTCGAGCTGTGTAAATGAACAGAACAGAATATAGTTCATCCTATTTTATCTTAATTTTTGTCTCAAAGATAAGATTTGGAAGAATATAGTTTGATCATCATAAAAGCCTGAAGATCAACTGAGGTACAACAAGTACCAAATATGGCAATTTCAGTCAGTGCTGTATTAGAAAAGTAGGAGTAAGAAACTGGTGCTGGGTACAGGTCTGTGATTGCGGGGTGCTGTGAAACAGTCTTTGAGTTAAAATTCAAGAGATTTCAGCATCAGACCGTTAAAGCAGGTAGCTTCTAAGGTGATTATGGTGCTATTCCTTCAATCTGCCATCTCCATAATGCAGCCCTTCCTCGTTGCGCTCCCCAGAGCAGACCTTTGGCTGGTGTAAATTGTCCGAATTCCACTGAAATCAGTTTCCACCAGCGGGGGATCTCGCCTGCCTTTCTATAATCTCCTTCATGTTACAGGAAGAAATGATACATTTGCAAAGGAGCAAATGCAAAGTATTTTTAATACAAATATGCATTCCTTTTATTACATTTTACCCACGTTTTTGTTGCTTCAAGTTCCTATTAATCCTCTCGTTTCTCTAACGTAATGCTATGCAACTATATATATATGATATAACTTTTTTTTACGATGGCCTGGTAGAGAGCTTAGATGAGTTGTTACTTGTGTTGACACAAAGCCATTGAAGTGCTGCAGAATTTTGTTAATATTTCTTTTAATCTTAAATCCTGGGAAATTTTGACTGTATTGGTTAACAAACTCTGATAGCCACTTACTGTGGCTAATGTAAAAAAGGTCAAGTTCACAAGTAGAGCAACAGGATAATATAGTACAGAAATCAGAAGTGTGAAAAGTGACACGTCGAGTAGGCATGTTCAAAGTCTGTTAAAATCAGTAGAAATTGTTCCATTGATGTTAATGGACTTCTGTTGAGGCCCACAGAGATTATGTAGCGCTTTAGGCTCTGTCACTCAAGAAGCCAATATAATTTTTCTAAATAAAAATCTGCTACCTGTTTAAGGATATTGGAGGTTTTCTTCCATAAATCAAATAAAAGTTGCTAGTCTTTCCTTTCATTCTCTGAGGTTGAAAAGTACAATAAGGGTACCGTTTCCTAAGGGTTTGATTGCTACCTGATAGAAAAGTACAATGTGTACAACTATTCCAGCTATAATACCTACAAGTACCCCTTTTTCCCTGGGCATTTTAGTCTATGCTTGGTATTGACTGATTATACAAATGTCGTTTTCTTAAGTACATTACTTCTTTCATTTGTGATTGTGTACATATAGTGCATGTTTTGTAAGAAGTGAAACTTGATTTAGTTTATATGCCCAGTAATTGCAGGAGCAGTATTATAACTGTAGATTTGGGATATGTATCCACCAAAAATATTATATTTAATTAAAGTTCTAGCAGGTTAGAGTTTGGATTATTTTTTCCTATTTCTAACGTGTGAACAAATGGGATGATGCTTCATGGTCATGCATGTACTGGTAGTGAAGAGCTCATTCTAGCTAACCAGAGTTTCCTGTAAACATTTGAGAATGGCTGGCATTAATTTTATAGTTTCAAAAAAAACCCCTAAGCAGTGTTTTCTGAAGCTGTCAAAGGGCGTATTCCATTAAACCGTTGGAAAATAGATCTCAGTAATAATGAAGCTCCCTGAAAGATCAAGGGCATTCTGAGTGAAGCCTGAAAGTTGAATCGCCACCCTGTCATGGATTATAAAACCACAGTTTGTTTGAGGACTCCTCGTTTACCTAGACGTGGTGCTGTGAATTAAGGCTGTAGTTGGTTCCAAATGCCACTGCTTCTGTAGGTGTGTCACCAAGTATTATTGCAGTGACGTTTTCGTGTTATTGTCTTACTAGCCCCAGATATCACATCGTTTCCTAAGGGTTTGATTGTTACCTGGTAGCTGAAGTAATATAGCAAGGATGTTTAAAGGAGTATTTTTAAGACCCTAAGTGTAACAGTAGAATTATACTTAGAGTCCTAAGGTATATCTGCCAATATGCATTTTGTCATAAATCCGGTCATGTCTTTTACCTCCTCTACCCGATGTCACTCTTGAATTAAAACGGTTTGGTGCTCGAGCTCAGCAGTTCTAGTTGATTAGTTTTGCTCTCCCTTTACAGTAAGACGGTGGTTAAGAGCCACATTTTAGCATACAACATGCTGTTTGACACTCGGGGCCGTACTTACGATAAACTGCAAAGATGTTTTTCATGCATTTATGGTCTATCATGTTGATGATTGCTTGTGCCTCCTTTGCACTGGGCCATGAAGTGTCCTAGAGTAGCACTTGCATCACGCTACAGTGGGCTGGGAATTTCTGCACAAAATGGTTTCAAAACCAGACAGGTAAAAGGGCTAGAGAGAGAGTCCCACCTCCAAAACACCAGGAATATGGGGATTAGGGAGCTCACTTGAGACAGGAGACCCAGGAGTAACTGCCCTGACCTGAAAGACTTGGCATTACTAAGGTCTCTCACATATCAGGGAAATGCCCTCACCTCCTGGTTCTCAAGCAGGGGGCTGTGGCACGGTGGGGTGCCGCCAGATCCTTTGAAGGGTGCTGTAAATAGTGAGATTAGCAAAGGATGAGGAGATAAGCAGCGCAGGTGAGCAGAGCCTCTGGCTCTTCCCAGCCTGGCCAGTCTTCTACCCCCAGTGCCTGGTCCTCTGCAAGGAGGTAAGCACTGCAATATAGAAATCAGCTTTTGAAATCGGGTGGCCCTCAATTCACGCATGTTATGGAAGAGTGCTTCAGCTCCAAAGAGAGATGCCTCAAGTCCAGAAAGGGTTGAGGACCAGTGGGTTATTCTCAGATGGGCCTTTCTGTGTCTCTCATTGTTCCCAAAACACCTTGAAGGGCATTGGGTTCAACCTGATACAGAATGGGGAAAGTGTTGAGAAGCTTTACAGGACAGGACAGCCATTCCTCATCTAGCTGTCCAGTGCAGGTGGGACACTTGCGTATCAGGAGCCTAACTGAGCGCTCTACTGCTGCAATGCTCTAACTTGTCCCATAACACGTCTAGGATTTGCCAGTTAAATACCTACATTAAACTTCCATTCAAAAGGGGAAAATAATTGAAGTCTTGAAAAATTTAGCAGGATAGGGGAGCGATTTCTCACCTAGCTCTGCATTGTTGGTGGTCCAAGCATGTACCACTTAATTCTACACTCTGTACTCTGGAAAAGCTCCAGTTTTCCCAGAAAAGGATGTGTGGGATTTACCGCTTAAATATTTTCATGGAACTTGCGGTGAACGTTAACATATTCAGGAGCTGTTTTTCGACATGAAATACCAAATCAAAAAATGATATCCTTTTTTTAAACAGTACAAATGACTTCAAACCAAATGAAGGTTCTTTCTTGGTAGGAATGTCTGGCTCTTAGGTTACAAACATTAGATGTAAAACATGTTAAAACTTTGATCAGATAAAAAAAATATTTTTCTTGCACAGGTGGTATAATTGACTTTAGACCTGAGGGAGTTTTCCGAACGTTGTTACATCTTGTAGCATGTGGTAGTTAAAAGTTTTAAGAAGCTCTTATATGCTCTTTATTTTTATTAACGGGCATATTGTGTACAGCAGCGATTCTCAGCAAGGCTCCTGGGACACAAATGTGCTGCCTGCACTGGACAGCTAGATTAGGAGTGGTTTTCCTATCCTGTAAAGCTTCACAACCTTTTCCCCATTGTGTATCGGGATGAACCCAGTGTCACAGGGCACAGTGTTAGCACTGTTGGGGGTACGAATGTGATTCACAAGAGAAACCCAAAGATTTCAAATAGGAATCCACTGTGTTACAAGCATTATGACCCATTATGGTCCTTCTGAGTTCTTTGCAACAGAAGAATTGCTCTTTTATTTTTTTCCATAGTCAAAAAATTAGTGAAAACTAAGAGCTGAGTGCCTTGAGCCTAATGAGGGGTTTCTCAAATATAACAAGGTTGAGAACTACTGAGATACAGGACAACACAGCTCATTCCTTTAAGTTGTACAGTCCCAAATTGCCCCCCTTAAGTCAATGACCGAATATCGATATTGATTTTTGATTTGTAAATTTTGTTCTCTCTTTCCATGCAGCTCAGTTCAATACAGTGGGCCTGCTGGGTGAGTGGGGGCAGAATTCAGTCTTTCCAATAAAAGTCTGTGATGCTAAAGAGTCTTGCTCACACTT